TCAAAGACGAGACTGGTGGGAAGCCGATCAGAGAATTCATCGCCCTAAAACCGAAACTATATTCGGTCGTCCTTAATGGTAAATAAAATTTAAGCCACCCTTCCACCCCCCATTCCTACCTTTTACAGAACAAAAATACCACCACCAACCTACCTACACCCCTTAATTTGTTGCATTAAACTATGGGCATTTAGCTGATTTAGGCAACATTATACAATGTTGCCTAAACGTTGATTTATCTGACAACATATTCCCTCTTGTTTCCTCTTTTTTAATCATAATTTAGAGTCTTCTGCTCTTTTTTGGTAAAATGAATCAAATTTTGTTCGGTATAAATTGAGTTGCTGAAGTGAAATGAAGCTATCCCCAACGTTGTAGAAAAGAATAATAATTTTGCTATTGTTTAGAAGGCACTCAAAAATTGAGTGCCAAAGGAATTAAACGGAGTGCACAGAGAGAACTGGTCCACCAAACCTTCAGGGACACATTATTCACTGGAAAAACAATGAGAGTATACAACTATAATATAGTTTCGAAAGGTCACACCAATATGACAGTGAAACAAAACAAACTTGCATTATCACCATTCGACTCAAAACGTTTTCTACTTTTCGACGGAATTTCGACAGTGCCCTTTGGCCATAAAGCCGCTGAAGAAAATGCTTTTCTAGAAGACATTTACATGGACACCGAGTGGGCCAACTCATACAATGAAACTGATAACAGTTCTCCCGATTTTACACTCCCGGATTGGGGATTTTTACAGCGGCCCTACTCAGAAGCAGAGCTGCAAGAAGAAGAAGAAGCTTCTAGTAGCCGAGTCCGTGAACGTCCCCCTATAAAAAACCCATTTATTTTATCTGAAGCTTCAGAAGAACGACCATCTAAAAAACACCGCAAAGAAAACCAAAACAATAAACATTAAAGTCTGAAACATATATTTTCAGATGATTTTTACTCTTCGTCCTTTTTATACTTCGACTTGTATATGTTTTGGTTTTTACCAATTTACAACTAATAAAATACTCGTATTGAGCTCAATCACTGTTTTAACATAAATAGCTTCAGGCAAATAAACTAGTAGACACAAACCAAGTGTTAATTCAAACAAATGTGTGAAATCCTTAGGCTTGTTTTGAATAATAAACTTTAATAGCATGACAAATCTTTGACGAAAAGAAAGAAAGCCAGGAAATGATATCCACATGAAACTAGGACGAAAAAAAGAAAAGTTCAGGAATTAGGACGATTAATTTTAATTATCGCGGGAAAAGGGACCGCTTTCAAAGGAATTAGAAGGAATTATTGTATCGCGTCCCGGTTGTTGAGCTCAGCTTAACAAGATCCTAAGGAGGGGGTCTTTTACTTTAGGGGTGGGAACTTGCGATCATTTACAAAATCCTAGGATAGGGGTCCTCCAAAAAATTAAGGACCCCTTTCCTAGGATTTTGCTTTACGTGAGGACCCCCCCCTTAGGAAGGACCCCCCCCCTTAGGATCCGGGACACGATACAATACTACTGTGTACTTTCAAAGATTGCGAATATTACCATCAAAAAAGACTGCTCAATTTTTTGTACTTTTTTGAGATGTGAATACCTTTTTTTAGAAAACTTAAGGTAAAGGTTCTCAAATTTTGATTATTCCAACGTTGTAGTTGGGTAATGTAAGAATACTCTCAGGAGTTGCAAATCTTGCGTCCAAATGCGACTGCTCAATTGCTTTCAGTTTCCCAGATGTGACGTTTCTTAGTTCATTTTAAATTTTATCAAAGAACTTATATAAAAATTTTATGGTTCTTCAAAATTTGTATAAAAAACTTGAATAAAAACCATTGCAAAATTAGTAATTACGAACCCTGTAACTGAATGCTGTCAGAGTACACTCAAAGAATAGTTTTTTGAGTTGTTGAAAATTCGAAGCACCGGAGGTGCGGTACACGCTATTTCTATTTACTCGGTGAAAATTTTTTCTAAGCATCTGAAACATTATGATGTGGTTAAGTCAAAATTTAGAAAAACATTTGCAAGCAATCACTGGATTTACAATTTGCTTTAAAATAGTTTTAAATGGGGCGGTTTTTTCAGTCAAAATTCAGCGAAAGAATCTCAAAAAATTTTTATTTTGTTTTTAATTTTTTTTTGAAAAATTTATCAATACTTCAAGTTTTGATGACTTTTTCAAAAAAAATTTTTTAATTGAAAATTTTTTGAAATTTTAGATTACTTGCAAAGCAAACACTGCTCCATATTTCTTGAAAGGCAGCCGGAACATTCAGAAAAAAAATTAAATTCAAATGAAATAATGACTCTTTGAGTTCAAATGTAAAAAAGACATTTCATCATCAAATACTTTTTGTTACGTTCTGGGGGTTTTAAAATTGCCATTTCGCTATGCTCTGGACTATTTTATGCGCGCTGAAAGCGTAACAAATTTTGTTTCTGCGTGTCTGCGTGCAAACGTAACCAAATGCAAATTTAATCAAAGTAAATTAGTGCAAGCTAATTTGTCGTTGTAGTTTCGTACTACTCAATTTTTACACTTGATGTTTGATGTTGTCCGAAATTTTTATGGTTTAATAATATTTTCGTTACCAACAACTATGCGATAACAATATGTACCCTGATGTACAAAAAATAAGGTCGTTCTGACTTTCGATACGAAAGTAACGGAATATTTGTGCTCGGGTGGGTTTTTTTTCTTCAGACAAATTTCGACTTTTTAACTAGCCATTTTTCACACTTTTTTATATAATTCAAAAGGTATTGTCTTAATCTTAATTTTCAAAAAAAATATTACTTGTGATTATTTTTTTGTAAAGTTATGGGGCTTTAAAAATTGCCGTTTAGGCCAATTTGGGATAATTAACGTGCGATATATTTCGCGCTATTAACCTGTAAGCAGAGATTTAATCCGTCTTAGAAATCGTTCCAAATAGGCAGAAAGAACTTAATTGCCATGATTGATTTGTTACAAAGAGCGAAATTTATCCTTTTGTACTGTATATGGCGTGTGGGGGGATGATTTTCATTAAAAAATTTCAAATTTTAGAAAAAAATTCTTTTTATTACATTTAATTTTTATAGGTTATTACTGCTCCATAAACTTTAAAAGGCAATCGGACGGATGATTCAAGGCTTCGCCCTGATACGAGCAGTCTTGTTTGAGTTTACTAGAGACTGCTTGCTCAACCAATGTGAACCGTGTCAATTTTAGTTCCTTTTCGTCACTGAATTTTATATCGATTATTAAAATTTCGTCACTAAGCTTAGTTAGGCTTGCAATACGCAAAAACTGCGTTTTATTTATGACGTTTTCAATCTATAATATTGACTGTTTTTGTTTTCCTTGCTTTCATTGATGCAATTTACTTTTTGATTTCGATCTAATCTGTGTGTTTTCTTATCATTGCTTATCAGGAGGAAGTTTTTTTATTGATCGAAATTTATAAGCTTACGACATACTATTATAGCAAAATTGATGTACAAAAAATTTCGCAATATCAGCATCATTTTTCTAGATTGGTGTTGCTGAGTTCTTCCTCTCGGGATTTTATGCTAAAAATAACCACAATTTCTGATAATTTTTTAAAAGAAACTTTGATATAGTTTTAAATTTTAAATTTTTGATTTTTTGAAGGTTATCCTCCAACAATATCAAGAATCAACTGTCATAATGCGTTCTTTATGTAGTTAATGGGACCAACTAGCTTGCGCCAGTTCAGTTTGAAAAGTTTTGAATTCAATTTGATTCGCCGAATTTCACTGGTTTCATTTTATGCGTATGCATCAAAAATATATCTTGAAGAGCGCGCATTATTTTAACAGATTACTTGAAAAAATGGCTTTTTTCAAGCACCCAAAACTGATTAAGAAAAATCTTTTCGAGCATTTGAGCTCAAGAAGTCAAGATTTGCGTTGGATGTAAGCTTTTTTTTTGAAGACTAATGTTTCGGTTAACGAAAATCATCTAAATGCAAAATAACCTCCAAGCATAAATATTTTGTTGTTTTCTCTGAAAATCAGAATAAATAAGTCTGCTTTTTTAATTAATAGAAAACAGGGTAATCAAATGAACCACTTTGAGTACATTTCTTCTGCATACCTCAACGTGCCGAGGGGGTGACCGCCTCTCCCCTCATTTCTGGTTGCCAGATTTTTTCAAAGGGTCTCCCACTTAATATAATTTTACATCATCCATTTGTGGCTGAGCAACCTCAAATATTTTCTAAAGGCGCCTCGCCAATATAACGCCTAAGTCGCCATTTAGGGGAGTGCGCGCGCCAAAAAAAAGTTGTTTAAAATAGGGTCGTCTTAGTGTTTTTGGAGAGCTAGGAAAGGTCCGCAAAGTTTTCAAAATGTTTCGAAAAAATGCCCACCCTGCTCTCTGCCTAGCATTGTAATCAGGGGGGGGGGGGGCAGACTCCCCTTCCTCAGGGATTCGACCCCCTGCCGACCCAAAGGGTCCCCCTTTGGTACTTTTTAAGAAATCCATTTTTGGCCGACTGACCCTAAAATTTTTCAAAAGGCGCCTTTGGCGCCAATGTATTCTTACTTTGAGGTAGAACGCGCGCTAAAAAAAGCAATTTTTTTTGTCAAAATTTTTTTAAAAAAAGTGCCCAAAACGGCTTTATAATATCACAAAATTTTTCCCATAAAAACAAGTACAAAACTCAAATACATTTGCAAACCAGATTGCAATGAATTATAAAAACCCTTTTTCACAGAACTTATCGCTGTGCTTTGAAGCTCTGTTGGCCGCAGAAACAGCATACAGAAACTTTTTTTGGCATTTCCCATTGTATAACAAAAACCATAGCCCTTTACTTTTTGGGAGGGTAATATTTGGCCAGAGGGGGTAGGGCTATAATTTGCTGAGGGAGGGCCTAAAGAGGGGAAAATACTAACGTATACACTACACGCGACTAATGGGAACGACCCGTTTTTTTGGTCGCCAAAAACAATTGAAAGCTTAATTTTATACAATTTTTTCCTGTTTTAGACCCAATCACCGATTACACGGTGTCAGTGCGGGCGTTCACGAGTGCGGGCGACGGCGCCTGGTCGGCGCCTGTGTCCCGCAGCACAGATGTGGCCTCCCCCTCCCCTCCCCGCAACGTGACAGTGTCTCTCTCCTCTCACTCTCTCAAAGCACTCACTGTCAACTGGGTCAGACCGCAACAGACTTACGGACACATTGAGGTATTTCAAGTGAAAATCATTCATGAATAATGCATTAATAATGCAAGGATGCTCAGAAACCATGCTAGCCAATCAAAATCCAGTTTTTTTAAAATCGAAAGAAGTTTAAGTGAAATTATAATGAATGAAACTCCAAAGAGTGAAAATCAGTCAGTTTCGGACAGTTTAAATGACGTTGATTGGTTGAAAAAGTTTGATCATTCGGTCTTTTGACCACTGCATCTAAGTTCTTCTCATATCAATTTTTAGCTACAGTGAACTGAAAATCTAACTGTACATTTAAAACCTAAATGGTGTTGGAAAGCCATAAAAACGCTACTGATCCGAAACCGAAGTTTTATCATAGCGTAAATCTTGATATCCGAACAAAAAAGCTGTTCGACTCATATAAAAGAAATCAAGATCTTAAAGGAAATCAAGCATAGCTGGATTTCACTGAATATTCGTTCCAAAAATTAGTTATGTTGCAGCGCTACGAGGTGTCGTTCCGGGAGTCGTCCCCACAGCACAGAGACCACTCGGCCCGACTCACAGTCGTCAACTCCTCCGCATCCCTCTGTCACATATCTCCAGGTAACAAAGATCACTAACAAAACAATTTCTCATCCATAATTGCAACATAAATTGAACACAAAACTACCCAAACTTTTTTTCATGAATGGATTTGCAGTTGATTTCAAAATGCGAGTTATAAAAAGCAATAATGGGACTTTTTAACTGTCTCGCCATATAGGCTTTTACTATTGACGCACATACTCTTTATTGTTGAAATATTTCTTCCTAGGGTTTAAAATCCTCTACTAGCATCCTGGGTGGAGATAACTGTTAACAAGGTCCAATTCTTTTCAAGGTTCCCATTCTTATTATAATCAACTGATAGTCAGCTTAAGGCTCAGCTGTTTGTCGAATTACTTGATGATGAGGCTCGTTATGCTCCTTAATATTTGCTTGTTATCTGAAATTGTGTACATGTATGTAGTTAAGATTAAAATCATTCCACAAGGCATTTTATAAAATGGCTGGAGTCTTGGAAAAACAATGCTCGGGCTGCTCTACACAACAGAAAAATGCTGGTCAAATATTTTCATATATGGAGCTCATGAAAAATGCTAGTCTTAAATTTTCATTCTTTCGAAATTGTATGACTAGCTGTGTTTTTTCAAAAAATAGTTTTTTTTCATCTACAAATAGTTTGAAAATTAATTATGAGTTCATAGTTGATACACAAATTTTAACTGCATTGAAACTAAGTTTAAAGACTAAAAACTACGGAAAAAATTTGAAATTTTCTTCGTAAAAAAATGGTAGTCGTACACTTCTATACTAAGAAATTTATGACCAACAATTTTTCAAAAAACGAAATCTAAATTTGGAGGTAAATTTGCCATGTTCTGTGCTTTGAGACGCGAACTTTTTTCTAGGCACAAGCAAACTTTTTAAAGTTTTTTATACAAAAGAAACGAAAATCAAAACGTTCGTTTTGTTTGGAGTCAAAACTCATATTTTTGTCGTTTAAAGTTTAAAGTCTGACAAAAAACAGGATATGATTTACAAGCACTTATATTTTGTCTTTAATCGTACACAAAAGTTAAAAAGTTAGTTAAATAATTGTACGTGAAATTACAATAATATTTCACATTGCGATCTCCAAAAACAGTTTATATGTGGGATATTTACCACTCAATCTGTTGGTTTTTTAATTGAGAAAAATTTTTTGGCTATTAGTTTTTGGCTAAACACGAAAACTTAAAACCAAGCTTAAAAATTAGTAGTTTGCTGATGAGGAGTTGATGTTAGTCGCGCACGTTCATACAACGAAAAAGTGCTAGTCATTTGCTAATCATAAAATTATAGGATGAAAAATGTTGTACTGCAATGTCTGTCTAAAAATGGGGGGCCGACCTTTTACCAGAAAACTTATAACATGGACCTTTTACCAGACTCGATAAACAAATTTGAATGACAGATGTAATGACGCCGTTTAGTTTGGTTAAAGACAATGGTTTCTCAGCAAAGTTTTGTTTATTCTAACGGGGGCTATTCTCATGCGCGAAGGACCGAATGAGCGAAAAAACTCGTTGCCTCACGGTTGCTTATAATTTGCTTCATTCTTGAGTAATTTTGAGCCAGGGTTAGCTTGCTTCTAAGAGGTTGCTTACAAAAACAATTAGTGAACGTGACACTTAAGCGTAAGTTTTTTTTCAACTTCATTCTGAATTTGGTTGAGTTTGGAGGTCAAGTTTTGGAATGTTTTTTGAATCCACATAAAACTGCTGCGCTACTTATGCAAAAAGAAAAGGTTGCATTATTGAGCTCATTGCATCTCCCAATGAGTGATCGCAGTTTTGAATAACTATTTGATTATGATGCCTATCGAAAGGGTAAAAACGATAAGTTGGATTTCCTTAATATTTTGAAACGAAAAGTTTTCAGAATTCGTCGAAAAGATGGAAACGTAAACTGCAATTTGGAATGCAAGCCTTCAAGATTTGTCGTTTAAAGTTTAAAGTCTGACAAAAAACAGGACATGATTTACAAGCACTTATATTTTGTCTTTAATCGTACACAAAAGTTAAAAAGTTAGTTAAATAATTGTACGTGAAATTACAATAATATTTCACATTGCGATCTCCAAAAACAGTTTATATGTGGGATATTTACCACTCAATCTGTTTGTTTTTTAATTGAGAAAGATTTTTTGGCTATTAGTTTTTGGCTAAACACGAAAACTTAAAACCAAGCTTAAAAATTAGTAGTTTGCTGATGAGGAGTTGATGTTAGTCGCGCACGTTCATACAACGAAAAAGTGCTAGTCATTTGCTTATCATAAAATTATAGGATGAAAAATGTTGTACTGCAGTGTCTGTCTAAAAATGGGGGGCCGACCTTTTACCAGAAAACTTATAACATGGACCTTTTACCAGACTCGATAAACAAATTTGAATGACAGATGTAATGACGCCGTTTAGTTTGGTTAAAGACAATGGTTTCTCAGCAAAGTTTTGTTTATTCTAACGGGGGCTATTCTCATGCGCGAAGGACCGAATGAGCGAAAAAACTCGTGAGCGGAAGATCGAACACAAATTTAGCCGAAAGTCAATTTTTAAAAAGAAGCAATTGCCATTCAATTTAAATGAATTAAATGAAGCAATATTTAGCTTCTTTCATTACGAAACCCTTGAAATATAAAATTTTCCCAATTTTGAGTCGGTCAATGACAATTTGAAAATTTTGCTTATTTCTGCAGTTTTTATATACGGCCAATATCAATACTCCAGTCCCTCGAAATGTTTACTTTCTTTCCAAATTTTAGATTACTGAAATCTGATTGACTGATTTTTATTTTCGCGCATTCAGTCCTTCGCGTATGAGGGATTCCACCTATTCTAACCGCTTCTTTTTCGAATCTTCCAGTAATTTAAATTTGTCTTAATTGAATTATTGCATTGTATTTTGGTAAAAGGTCGGTCTGGTAAAAGACCTAGTCCCCTAAAAGAGTTTAACTTTGATTTTCTGGCTAGAAGTTGGGACTTTACTGCTTAATTGGAAGTGAAATTGCGGAGGTAGATCTACTTAACAATCTCCCCTGTTTCAAAACAAGGGACGGAGATTGTTAGGTAGATTTACTAAGACGAATATTTGAGCAATCAGAATGCAGCAAAATTCAAATTTTAATACCAAAATTCTTAGTGCTAATTTACTTTTTTATTTATAGAAGTTAAGATTCTGTAGTAGATACCATAGCTGGGGAGATTGTCACGTAGCTCCACAGAGATTTTTCCATAAAAACTTTAACTGTGTTTTTCTTCAACCCTCACGGTTGCTTATAATTTGCTTCATTCTTGAGTAATTTTGAGCCATGGGTAGCTTGCTTCTAAGAGGTTGCTTACAAAAACAATTAGTGAACGTGACACTTAAGCGTAAGTTTTTTTTCAACTTCATTCTGAATTTGGTTGAGTTTGGAGGTCAAGTTTTGGAATGTTTTTTGAATCCACATAAAACTGCTGCGCTACTTATGCAAAAAGAAAAGGTTGCATTATTGAGCTCATTGCATCTCCCAATGAGTGATCGCAGTTTTGAATAACTATTTGATTATGATGCCTATCGAAAGGGTAAAAACGATAAGTTGGATTTCCTTAATATTTTGAAACGAAAAGTTTTCAGAATTCGTCGAAAAGATGGAAACGTAAACTGCAATTTGGAATGCAAGCCTTCAAGATTTTTGCAAGGTTTCTGCAAGCGTTTGCGTTCTCTTGACTATCTAAAATTTTTCTGATAGAACATTTGTCCTATGCATTTCGAGCTAAAATTTGAATTTACAGACTTTGATTTTTCAGTATTCTAATTTTATTTAGAACATTTAGCAGTAAAAGCTTTTCATTTTTTTTATTTGAACAATTTTTCGAAGCATAACTCCAATCCCACTATTATTTTTAAAAATTTAAAAAAAAACTTCAAAACTTTGATTTTCATGCACTCGCGCCTATCCCCATGTATCCCTCGTCTTGTTCGAGGAAAAATATTTCAGTAAACGCTATAGTGAGGTTATGCAAAACATTTGCTAGAGACTCACAGAAACTATAACACCCACTGAACATAAAAAAATCTGCACAAAAAAGTGAAAGTACTTAATAAGACCATCTTGAATAATCTTGCAAATGGAAGGAATGCAAACATTGCAAAAAATTAATCAAAGTTAGCTAGTGCATTGCAATAAAAAAACAAAAACATGTTTTCCTACTCAACATTTGCGTTCCAAGAGCATTAGGGGGGTCTTTTCACTGATTCAACCCAAATTTCTTAATTTTGCGATTTTGTAATATTGAATGGTCAGTTTTGGAACCTGATCTAAACTACATTTTATGATTGGATAAATTAAATGTTTTACCAATGTAAAGTATTTAATATTAACCAATCATGATCCATCTAACTAACAACCCACTTATTTGTAAGTGCTGAAGTTACTTGTAATTTCAGCACCAGAGAGATTTGAATTTAACTTAGAAATTAGTTGGACTCTCCCGAGCACTTCAGCAGCCGCAATAAACCAGTATACCCTAGATCTATTGAGCCTAGCAGAGACTAGTTAAACAACCTGAGACTAGATAGTATAAGAGTAAGATTAGGATCGGTATTAGACTAAGAAGTTGCACGAATCTATCCGGCCGAAAATAAGATAGCGTGACGAGCAGACGGTGTACCCTATCCGAAATTACTCTATGAGTTACACTTCGGTCCTAACTCATCTGGTGCGACCATAAGTCTCGAACAAGACCTTACTAGATTAGAATTAACCAAAAATAGATTAGAAATTAGACAAAAACATTTACAAAATGTTATACGACAATAATTTAATTGAAATGTCTCTCCGACTCAATAGATCAGAGCCAATATTCCGAACCATAATAGAACTACCCGGAATTGGAAGAAGACATCGAACCAAAGACGACATACGACAAAGTAGAAACTTGCCGTATAGTTATATGATAGTTCGGCAAAAGCCAGAACAAACTTTTATATTTCGAATACTACTTGCAATGAATTTAGATTTCCATTTGCAAACATAAAACCTC